AAAACGATAATACTACGAACGTTTTTTTGTTTCTCCAGCAAATCACGAAAATATTTTTTTTTAAACGACCGATAAAAAACGTTATCAGAAAGATTAATAAAAACAAGAAGAAGAAGAAGAAAAAACTGGAAAGTTCTCCAGAGAAACCTAAAAAACATTTTCCAAAACGAAAAAAAAAAAAACAGAAAAATTTAAAACATTTTAAATAAGTCATAAAAAAAAAAATTTATTTATTTTGAAAATTTATTAATGCGACTCTTTCCCTGGAGTCTTATTATTATTAATATCATTATCATTATGACTACTACTGGAAACTTTTTTTCTTTGGAATAAAAAAAAAAAAAAAAACGTTCCCTTTTTTTTTTTAAATTAAACGATTTTATTTAACTTTTATCACTGTGGTAAAAAAAAATAAAAATAAAAAACCACGATAATTAAATTTTTCCATTTTTTTTTCTCCAGGAACCGCCGGCCCGTGTGCAAACAATTAAATTTATTATTATTATTATTATTATTATTATTATTATCATCATCGTAATCGTTTTATGCAACTATTAAATTAAATTTTCATTATGTTATTTTTAAATTTAATTTATAAAAAAAAAAAAAAAGGAAAAAAAAGTTTATATAAATCATTTTCTTTAATTAAGTAAAAAAAAAAAAAAAAATTTTCTCCAGCTCCAGAGTGTTAAAAGATTATATAAATCAAAATGGCGGATCGTCGTCTTAAACTTCGTCCTTTTTCTTTTTTTTTTTTGTTTAAATAAAATTAACCGAACGAATCGGATAACAAAGAAAAAAAACCGGAAAGAATTAAATCTTCGATAAAAATTCCAGATGAAAGAAAAATTCCAGAAAGAATAATAAAAAAAAAAAAAAGAAAAATTTCCAGTTTAAATTCCAGTTTGCTTAATTAAACTAATTTGCAAAGAAAAGGGGGGGAAAAAAAAATTACAAGAGATGGAAGGAAAAAAGAAAACTTCGAAGGGTAGTTATTACGTCACCCTAACATTCACTCACTCACAGCCTTCTAAAAAAAAATTTAAATTTTTAAAAACGTTCTGGAACGCGTAACCGTTGGCACGCACACACAAACGTAAATTTTAAATAAATAAATAAATTAATAATAATAATAATAATAATAATTAAATTTGATACGTTCAATTGAAAAATGAGTAAAACATTTTCCAGTCGAGTATTAAATTCCAGTCGAATTAAAACAACAAAAAAAGGTTTCCGTCGGTTTTCTCTCCCCCCTCCCCTTTTCTCAAAAGTTTTATATTACAAACGAAAATTTTCCTTTTATTATTATTATTATTATTATTATTAAATTTCTTTAAATTGTCTAGAAAATTAAAAAAAATTTCCCACCTTCTCCCTTTCCCTCCCCCTCCCATCACATTAACTCCCTAATCATTACGTTTAATTAATAATAATAATAATCACTTTTTTTTTCTTTTCTATTAAATTTATACGTACTGGAAAATGCAAAAAAAAAAAAAATTATTTATTTATTTTCTCTCTCTCTCTCTCTCTCTCCCCTCCTGTCTATCCTTTTTCAAATAATAATAATGATAATAAAAAGAAAGGAAAATTAAATTCCATAATTTTTTAATTGTTTTGTTTTTTTTTTGTTTAGTCTTTTCCAGACGTCGTCATCACCCTTTCCTCAATTTAATTTTTTTTTTTTATTCCCTTTAATCATTGAAAATGATAATAATAATAATAATAATGATAATAATTTGGCTTTTATTCCAGTTTTTTTATCCATAAATTTCTCATTTTTCGCTCAATTAAACATTTTATTATAATGAAAAAAAAGAGGGAAAACAAAATTACGACGATAAACTGGAGAAGAAAAATTTTTCTTTTGTATTGTTTACCTTACACGTGAGAAAAAGAAAAGAAAAGTTTTCCAATGGATCGATAAAATCATTATTATTAATTTTTTTTTTTTGGAAAAATTTCTCCAGGTTACACAAAAATCATTTCCAAAAAACAAAACAAAACGAACATTGGAAAAATGTTTAAATACAAAACAACACCTAGAGCATTTCTATAAATTTCCCTCCCCATCTTCCCTCCCCCCAGTTCCACCCGTCCCACCCCTCCCCTCTCATCCCCCCGCCATCAAATCGAAATAAAAAGATCAAAGGGCACATTCGTGAAGGTAAAAATTAAAAGGATGGAAATGATAAGACGGAGCGACAAAAATTTTCCGTCCCGCGTATCCGATTCGGAGGAAAGGAAGGATTCGGATACGTTTTGAAAATCGGTCACACACACTTCCGGTCGAACGATATATCGCGTTTGAATTTTTTTTTTTAAATAATAAGAATCGTTTTATTAAATTTTATCGAATTAATTTTTGTTTATATTTTTTTTGTTTATATTTTTTTTTTTTTTGTTAAATGAAACACATCAACAATTTTACATTTAAATAATAATAACATTTTTTTATATTTAACATATGCAAAAGCATATGAAAAAACACTCATCATTATCATTATTATTATTATTATTATTAAAATACACGAGTTAATTATTTATATATTTATATTTATTTCATTCGTCTTAATAACAATTAATAATAATAATAATAATAATACATAAAATTTTTTCAAATAAATAAATAAAAATAAAAATAAAAATGGAGGAGAAAACATCTAGAAAGTTTTTTTTTTTTTTTTTTTTTTACATAAGTGAGCAATTTATTTAGCATCTAAATTATTACAAATAATAATAATAATAATAATAATGATGATGATAAATTAAAACGTACAAAAATTGCAAACGATTACCTAATTATTACCCTAACTACCTAACTACCGTCGATCGTTTAAAAAATGGCGGAAAATAAAAATTTTCCCTGTGGAAAAATGGGCATAAGGCATGATTAAAAAAAAAAAAAAAAAAAAAACGATAACAACTCATAATAACTGATAATTTTTTTGACTTTTCTTTCTCGTTTTCCTTTTATTTACTTATCATTATTATTATTATTATTATTAATAACAATTTTCCTACCGCTTAATCTAAAAAATTTCGACGGGTAAAGTTTTATTTTTACTTTTTTAAATAATTTTTCACCTACGTTAATTATTATTTAATTAATTTATTGATTGATTGATTTAATCGATCCATCGATCCATCGATCGATCGATTTATTATCATCATTATTATTTTCCTTTTTTTTTAAATTCGCGATTTCCAACCCGGTACTCATTTATTACTATCATCACGTGCGCTTTCCAAAAAAAAAAAAATTAAAAATATTATTATTATTATTATTATTTCATGCCTTGCCTACACCGACTCCGATGATAATATTAATAATAATAATAATAATAATAATAATAATAATTAAACATAATAATAATAATAATTTATTTTATTCGTTTTCAATTTAATTACGTAATTAAATTAACGGAAATGAAAAAAAGTAAAAAAAAAAAAAAGGAAAATTTATTATCACCTTTACAATTTTTTCACTTTCATTCTTTTTTTTTTGTGTATTTTCTTTTATTCGATTGTAAAAGGAAACGATATCGAAAATATTATTATTATTATTATTATTATTATCATTATTATTATTATTATTAATTAATTAAATTAAATTTTTCATTTTCCGATTCAATTTTCTTTCTTTTTATTACAACCCCGGGTAAAGAAAAGAAAAAAAAAAATTCATTCCCGTTTAACAAACATTTTTATTTATTTATTTATTATTATTAATAATACGCACGAATGCTAATCACCGATGATGATAATAATAATAATAATAATAATAATAATAATAATAATAATAATAATAATAATAATAAACAACAACAACAACAACAACAACAAACGCGATTCGTCATAACAAAAAAAAAAAAAAAACGAAAAAAACGAATAACGATCATAAACGAAAAAAAAGAAAATTATTATTATTATTTCCCATTACGTAATTATCAATATTATTATTATTATTATTACTTATTGAATCACGTGATAAATAAATAAATAAATAATAATAATAATAATAATTATAAGCGATGCTATTTAATTTAAAAAAAAAAAAAAAGCAAAAAAAAAATTGAAAAAATAAAAGCACTATTATTATATCCCCTTATAATCCGAATCCATTTTTTTAATTTTTTTTAGTAAATTATATTTATTTATTTATTTAATTATGTATAATGTTATTAACTAATATAATATCATATTTAATAAATATACAATTTTTATATAATAATAATAATAATATATATGTATATATGCGAGAGCGTGAAAGCATCTCTTTTTTAATATCACATTTTAGGTTACAAGTAATGAATATGCATCAATGATATGTATATGTTCCTTGGTTGGCCAAAATTTTGACTTTAACCTTAAAGCTAATTAATTAATTAATTAATCATATTGGTTGTCTTTGTTTGTTTTAATAACTTCTCCCATACGCAAGAGAGAGAGAGTGAGAGAGAGAGAGAGAGATAAATTCATTAACCGTAACAAACATTTACGATTCCGAATAATAAACAAAAAATAAAAAACGTTTATTAACGTTTTATATGTTTAGCAAATGGGAGGAAAATTAAAAATAATAAAAAAAAATTTTCTTTGCAATGTTGCGACAAAATTCTCATAAAAATAAATAATTTTTTTTTTTTATTTCGGTGGTTTTTAATAAATAATTAATTAATTAATTATCGTTAATAATTTAATAATAATTATTTATTTATTTATTTATTTTATCGTAATTGACTTTTCCGTTATGATAATAATAATAATAATTATTATTATTATTTATTGCTTTTTTTTTAATAATTGATTTTTAAATTTTCTCGTCGTGGCTTTTCCGACTTTTCCGGATTTTTTTTTTTTTTTTTTTTTTTTAGTAAACCACCGGATAATTAAAATAATAATTTATGTATGTATTCGTTTAAATGATGAAATAAACAAAATGGCGACGGGAAATCAAAAAAAGAAAAAGAGAAAATATAGAATGAATAATCATTTTAATATCCCGTTCCTCCTCTAAAGGGATTTTTATTTTCGTTACTCCCGGCGGCGTTTGATATCCCTTCGGTTTGCCTAAAGGGATTTACTGGACCCCTTGCAGAGGGTGCTTGAGAATCTTGTTGGTAGTATTGCTGATAAGATTGATATTGATTTTGACCCTCTTGGGTCGAAAGTTGCGATGAGTAATTTTGTTGTTGTTGTTGTTGATAACCGGTTTGATGTTGGTAGCCTTGAGAATATTGGGAATTGTAGGATCCCTCATCGTATCCCCCGGTATGTTCACCATCGAGTGTCGTTTCCGCATAATTCCCTTCCGTGTCTTGCATTCTACCATAGTCTAAATGATTTTTATAATTTTGATCGAGCGGTTTTTGATCTTGCATGGAATACGTTTGATATTCTTTCGCCGGAGGATCCGACATGAGTATGTTGGCTTCGTTTTGAAACGGTTTGAAATCGTAGATGTTTTTTATATACATTAAAACCGGAGCGTAGAGCAAATTTGAGAAGGCTATGAGAAAATTTAACGCCGTGAACCCGATGGCTTCGACAACGCCTCCGGCTATTATGGGCCCCACGGCATAGGCTATGGAATATGATATATCAGCGATTGCGTAAATGCTTCCGTACACGGAAACGTATCTAACGTCGACGAGGTATCCGAGAGTAGGCAAAAGTGCGGTATCTATAAGTGCTATCCCGAAACAAATTCCGCATATTGGTAACATGAGCATTTTGTACGAACCCGAAAATGGTATTATGAAGCAACACATTCCTTCGAAGGCTAAACCGCCAGCAGCCATCGCCCATTGCCATTGAGGATATTTTTTTGCCATTTTAACCGTCACAACGACACCTATGACGTGTGGGAAAAATGCCGGAAGCCAAATCATTCCAATTTTCCAATTATCCGTCGTCAAATTATCTTCCATCCACAGGGATATGGTCGGTTCTAAAAATGCCAACGCCACGTTCGACATCATCAATGCTCCCGCGCACACGGCTATATACGGATCCATCAATAGTCTCCATATTGGTATCGTATCCGGCGATTCGGCTTTGGCTTCTTTTATGATCGTTTTCAACGGTTTCATCACGAGCAAAAGCATGAAACCATCCGCTAGGGAAATGAATGCCAAAATTAAAAACGGTACTTCTTTTCCGGCAAACTGATATAACGCTCCGCCGAAAGGAGGTGCCACCAGACAACCGAACGATATGAAAGCAAGTGCTATTCCCAAAGCCTTCGATCTTTCTGCTTCTTCTGTGAATCTATCGGCTATCATAGCCAAACCGCTCGTGTCGGCAAATGCGCTTCCCACTCCTTGCAAACTCCTTGCAAAAAACAACAGGCCGTAACTTCTACCGCATGCGAAAACGGCCGTGCTTAAAAACATTATCGTCAAACCTATCATCATGGGTATATCGTATCCGATTCTATCGATTAATGCTCCGCTAAATGGATTTATCATTAGTTGAACGATGGCTTTGGAAGCGAATAAAACTCCCGTCGACGTATCCTGACCGTGATGATCGTGTTTGACGGGTCCTTGGGTACCGTTCGGCGGTAGAATGACATCGATTTGTTCGTATGCTCCTATGTACCTCAAATAATCCGGTATTATGGGTACGATGACCATATACAACATGTTATCCAATAGCAGGGCAATGGATACGATGATCAAAACGAGCCTTCTTTGATAGTGTGGCTCCTGTAGTTTTGCCCATATTATATCCTTGAGTTCGCCAACCTCAAGGTTGATAACCGGTATATTAAATGTCATTTTTTCTTTTTTTTCCCTTCGTATAAAATATATATATATTCAGGTTACCTTTTTTTCATCGCGATTTTCTACTACAAAATGATATGTTTGAAGCAAAAAAAAAGGCATTAATATGATATGTTATCTTCATAATAATTTTCTTCGACTGTCATCAAAGGTCACTTTATCACACGTTGTTTGTTGTTGTTGTTGTTGTTGTTTGTCGAGTGGTTTTTTCCGACACTCTCTTAGAATCCCAAAGTAGCCGTGCGGGTTGGACAGGTCACAAGGCAACCTTGAACAACAGAGATAAGAAACCAATTAGTATTATGATGATAACATTGATATAACAATGGATGAAGAATAGTAAGAAGGAAAGGAGGCTACTTTGAGACACTATAAGTTTCACTCGACCTACAAAATAAATTTAATATACAAACCAAAATAGAAACACGCAAAAAAAAAAAAAGCAACCGAGAACAGGAGCGGTACTAGGAAAATCAAAATATAAAAGGAAATAGAGAGTGAAAAGTTTTATAATGACAACTGGACAAAAATCTACAACTGGATAAAAATTTAACAAACGTTTCTCCAGTTTATATTTTTAAACATTTTACGCGATTGTTCATAATACAAACAAACAAACAAACAAAAAAAAAAAACGGAAAAAAATCCTGGAGAAAAAAAAAAAAAAATGAAAAATTACGAGACGTTACGAGAGCCCACTTGACTTTAAAAAAAAAAATATTTACAACGTTTTAAAACGACATATTTTACACGTAAGATAAACATAAGTTACACGTAATTTATTAATAAAACGTAATTCCAAAAACAAAAATGGCGATTTCTCATAGAAAATGTAAATGGCACAAAAAACAAAAAAAAAAAACAAAAATAAATAAATAATAAAAATAAAAAAAATTAAACGAGATCGTTAAGAATCTTTCTCTCTCTCTCTCTCTCTCTCTCTCTCTCTCTTTCTCTTTAAAAATAAAAAATTTTCATTTTAATAACAGCGGGGGGTGGGGGCGGGAGTGGGGAAGCTTTCGTTTTGAATGCGTGAGGGTGCGCGGGGGGGGGAGGGGGGAGGAAAGGAAAGAATAAGAAAATTTCTTTAAGGAAAAATGTGGTGGTGGTGGTTAAAAATTAAAAAGAAAAATGTGCATTTTTTTTTTTTTTTTTTTTTTTGAAAAATTACAATTTAAAATTATTTTTTTTATTAAAAACTTTTCTTTTCTTTTCTTTTCCAGCAACAGCAAACACTATATAAAACTTTTTACAAAAAAGTTTCGAAACAAAAAAATTTCCCAAACGCCCGCCCCCCGCCCAAACTTTATTATTTTGTTTCTAAAAAAAAAATTTTTCCTTCTCTCTCCTTATAATTTCAAGGTTGTTAAAAATAAAAAAAAATTTTGTCATCGATTTTTTTTTATAGAGCAAAATATAGCTTATAGAACAAAATTTTATAGTAGTTTATAGAGCGATATAATAATTGCTTCTGCCACTATAATAAAATTATAGTAAAAGAATTACGTAGAGAAAACCAAAAATCAATCAACGGAAAACTATAAACTTATTTTTATTTCACGTTCGAATTTTTTTATAGCGCTTTAATAGTCTTTACGTAAAACATTAATTTATCATCATCATCATCATCATCATCATCATCATCATCATCATCATCATCATTATCATTATCATTATTATTATTATTATTATTATTATTATTTGAAACGAAAATTTATAGACTATATTTTATTTAAATATAAACAACAACCCTACAACTTAATGTTTTTGAACTATATATATTATTAACTATAAAAATTATTTATTGTTCAAAATAATATCATCGAATGATTTATAGCGCGCTATTTTTATACGAGAGAGAGAGAGAGAGAGAGAGAGAGATTGAGAGAAAGGGGGGAGAGAGAGAGAGAGAGAGAGAATATAAATGATAATTAAGAAAAAATACCATCGCTATATTAAGACAACAAAACTCGTTTTTTTTTTTAATGAGTAAAAATTATAAACTATATAAAATAGTTTTATAGTTTATTATAGCTTTCGTAACGCCGAGGGAAAATGGCGGTCGGAAGTTGGGGGGGAGGGAGGGAAACGGAATGGGGGAGGGGAAAAGTTTTTTTTTTTTTTTTTTTACGGTATATAAAAAAAGGAAAAATTAAACCATTTATTCGTATAAACTAAAGGTTTTAGTGACGTCGAAACCTTTTGAGACTTGATGGAAATGTTTGTTCGTGGCGATGACGATAATGATGATGAAATTGTTATGCATTTGGTCCTTGTTAAATTCTCTAGGGGGAAGGGGGGGGAGAAAGTTTGACGTATGACGTCACGTCAGTACGGTTGATTTTACGCATTAATCTTTTAACGTGTATTTTAATATTAAAAAAAAAAAAAAATGTTACTCGTAGAATCCCTTTCGATCCCCTTCCCTTCCCTCCCCCCCCAAAAAAAAAAGGATAACGGTTTTATTCCCGGGAGATTTAAAAGTTTTCAAAAAGGGGAAAACAAACGGAGGGAGGGAGGGCAGAAGAATAAGGGTTGACAAAGAAAAAAAAAAGAAAATTTTACTAGTTGTTGAAAAAAACGTGCCAGGGCGGGGGGGGGAGAAGAAAACAAATTAATTTTTTTTAGTTTTTACAAAATAATAATAATATTATTATTATTATTTTTTCTCCAAACGATTCCAGCGGTTTAAACTGGAGAAAAAAAAATATTCACACGTGTATCGGATATTTTTTATATGATACGTCAAAAATAAAAGAAAAGCTTTCGCATTTTTTTTTCCCATTGATTTCCCTTTTAATGATTCTTCCCCGCTCGCCCCTCCCCCGTTCCCCAATCTTCCAGTATTATTTCCAGTAAAAAAAAAAAAAAACTGGAAAATTAAACGTTTGTGTCCTTTTTTTTTTTTTGCTTACGATGAATTTTCATAACAAAGCCTGTAATTTAACGTCGATTCATGTGAAAAAAATTAATTTTCTTTTTTTTTTCACTCCTCTCCCCTCTACCTTTCCTCCATCATTTTCCCTTTTCTCTCTCTCTCTCTACCCTCTCTTTCTCTCTCTTTTGTTTTCTACCTCACTCTCTCTCTCTCTCTCTCTCTCTTTATTTCTTTAGCTTCCTACCTCTCTCTCTTTCGTTTGCTCCCTACTTCCCTCCCTTTTACTTCCTATCTCTCTCTCGCTCTTTCTTTTACTTCCTACCTCTCTCCCTCTCTCTTTTGTCTCCTACCTCTCTCTCTCTTTCTCTCACACTTTCTTTAAAACTTTCCACGCTTTCGAAAATTATAAAAATCTTATTTGAAAATTACATTTTAAGTTAATAACACGTTCCAAAATTTTCTTATTATCATCATCATCATCATCATCATTATTATTATTATCATTATTATTATTATTATTATTATTATTATCGTAAATTCCAGAAAAAAAAAACAATTTTTTTCCAGAGTTGATATAAAGTTTACTTACAATTTTTTTTAATCATCAGAAAAAAAAAATGAAAAAAAGAAGACGTTAAAAATGTCAAAGGGATCCCTTTCCCGTTATCCTGCTTCCCTCCCTCTCTCCCCCTTCCTTCCCCGTCCCGTTTCCCTCCCGCAAAAAAAAATATTAAATTATTTTCACGATAACCCGATTTTTCCAGAAAATAAAAAAAAAAATTTATTTATATATATATATATTTTTCAGGTTTTTTTTTATTTTTTTATTTCATTTGATTTTTAATATTGAAAAAAAAAAAAACGATGACGTAATAAACGTCGATGATGATGATGATGATGATAATGATAACGTCAGCATCAATATCGTTAATGTTGTTATTTGTCGAGTTTTTCGTAAAGCTTCTAATAATATGAAAATAAAAGGTAATTTCCTGTTGCTATAGTAATAAATTTTTCTTTTTTTTTTTTTTTTTTTTTTTTTTCTGTCGTCAATGAGAACTTTTAGCCCACTTCCTTTTTTTTCTACGGGGGGAGGTGGAGGAGGAGGAGGAGGAAAAGAATGGAAAAAGAGGGAAAAACGAAAGGTAGGGTTTGAAAAAAAATTTTTTTTTCTTTTGCGAGGGGGGGGTGGTTTACGGGCACGTACGAGGTATGAATTTTTTTTTTAAAGAAATAATTAATTTGTGCGGTACGTGTGGGGAGGGGGATGACGGAGGGATAGGATAGGGAAGAAGAACAAGGAGAGGGGAGAAGGAGTGAGAAAAAGAGGGGAAAAAAAAGTTGTAAAATCAAAATTTTCCGTGACGAGAAAAAATTAAAACGAAAAAAAAAAAAATTTTTTTTTTAGGAGGCAGGAGGGGGAGGACAAACGGTTTCGGGGGTGTGACAAACGTGAGAGAAATGCTGGTGAGGGAGGAGGGGGAGTGGAGAGATCGAAAAATTTCAAGTGACGGAAAATTATTATTATTTTTTTATTTGATGAAAGAAACGAGAAAATTTTTTTTTAAATTTCTTACAAAAAGGAGAAAAGGTTCAAAGGTCACGGAGGGGGGAACACGAGGGGGCGGAGAGGGGGAGGGCAGAAAAGAAAATACGAAAAGAAAATTTCAAAGTTAATAAATTTTAAATTTTTTTATAGAAAAATTCATTAAATATTTATTCGATCCTCGCCTATCAAAAAAAATTTCTTTTTTTTTTTTTTTTTTAATATTTGCACGTAATTAACGTTAACCCGAACGCGTCATTTTCTCCAGGGAGGGAGGGAGGGGAGAGGGGAGCTGGAGAGCTGGAGGGGAGAATCGATTTTTTCCAAAAACGTACCAGACGACCAGAAAACAAAAAAGAAAATTTTTTTTTTTGTTTCACTTCTTCCACGTTCATTGATAAATGTGCGTATCTATCGTTTGTTAAACCAGGTGTAGACGCATCCAACATTTCGCACGTTTATTTAAATAATTCATTTTATTTTCAAACTTGTAAATTATTTTCTCTCTTTCTCTCTCTCCCTCCCTCTCTCTCCCTGTCTCTCTCTCTCTCTCTTTCTCTTTCTCTCTCACTCGCACACTTTTCCTTCTGCTTTTCTCTTTTATCGATCGTTTTACAAAAATAACTGTT